AACATGGGAATTTCAAATAGTAAAAGATGTGAATTCTGAGAGAATCTAGGCTCAGATATATTGGTTCAAATAAATTTACACTGTGAAAGATAGTTTTCTGTTTAATTTCCCAAGACAGCCACTTTCTCGGCCTTCCCTCTAGGATCCAAAATAACTGGATTGAAACGGTTTTCAAATGAAACATGAATACTTCAATTTATTTTAAAATGATAATTAGCAGTACAAAATAAATAGTATTCATTAATATATTAGAAGTCTGTAAAGAGTGAGGATAGACTTGTTTTTCAGCATGGATGGTGGATTGTATTAGTTACCATGTAACTTCTGAGGTTGTAGTTTTGGAGGTAAATATTTGAGACTTTATTTGTGCAGGTAAGGTTGAATGATAACCTTATTAATAAGGTTAGCCTTATTAATAATAAGTTTTATTACTTATCAAATACTAATGTGGGAGTTAAAGAAAAGTCACTCATTAAACAAATAAAGAAAATAAAGAGGAGGAAGAAAATGGAGAAAGAGAGACTGAGGAAATGAATACCAAATGTAACGGAAAGAATGAAAAGGGGCTGGAGAGATGGCTCAGTGGCTAAGAACACTTGCTGCTCTTCCAGAGGACCCAGGTTGGATTCTCAGCACACATAGGAAGGTTCACAACCATCTATAAATCCAGCTCCAAGGAACTTTATGCTCTCCTCTGACACCTGGAATGCATGAGGTATACTGACATATCCATCCAAGCAAAATTTCCATTCACATAAAACAAAATTAAGAATTAAAATATTTAAATTTGTCTACCACAAGAATAAGCACTATAGTTGGATTTTAAGTAAAATAAAATAACTCAGTTTAAACAAACGGTGGCAAGCTAGGTACGGTGATACACACCCTTAATCCCAGGTTTCTAGAGGCAGAGGCAGACTGTGAGGCCAGTCTGGTATTCATAAAAAGTTTTAAGCCAGCTTGGGTTACACAGTTAAAACCTTGTTCCAAAAACTAACTAAATAAGAAAGTAAATCAAATCGTAGACAAATCTATTACAGCATGAAGACAAAATTAACAATAGTAATAGTAACTAAATTAAAAATATTAAAGAGGAAAATAAAATTAAAAATATTAAATTGGTAAAAGCACCATTCCAAAGAAATATAGTAAAATCTGTAATATGAAAAATGTTGAGAATTTAATAAAATATACAAAAACTAATGAAATCACAAGACTTTAATACTTTTCTCTCACGTCAGACTAGCAAAAGCCCAAAGGAAGAAAAATGTTCATCATTCTTTGAGAGAAAAGCATTATGCACAAAAATGTGGCAATGTTTTAAAATTCAAACTCTGTCATTTGCTACAGACTTCAAATATATGTAAAGAAAAACCTTTATTAGATCATTACGCATACAGTCAAAAATTATTTATTTAATGATATAAATATGGTTCAAAAAAATCACACAACACACACACTTCATTCACAGTACAGGCTATGGTGGCTAGAGAAAACAAACTGTATCTATATGAAACAATAGAAAACTTCAATCATATTATGCTTAATATAGAAAAGCAAATTTCAATACATGTACCACAGATGCACGTATATGTATATGTTCATGCACACAATCCACACTTAATACTCTGGATATCATCTTTACTGTTAAATAATCTTTTCTCAAGAGGCCTAGGGGAAAATGGACTTCTTGCATATATAGAGAGCTTTCGTTTTTTTATCTCTAGCATACAAACTAGTTTTAACTTAACTGGAAAAAGTCAGACCCTCCAATATAAAATATCACTTGGCTGAATCAACAAATAGGACAGGCAAGCAAATAAACAAACCCTCGAAAGGTCAATAAATCGTGATGTTTCCTTCCCCTTGGCAGATAGATAGTGAACATTTCCTCTGGGGCAAATTTTTCTCAGCATGAGGACCCATCAGTATCAGTGACAGTGACGGGATGGAGGGGGTCATTTTCCAAAATCCACAGAAGCAACATGAAGAAAATATTTGCTTCAAATCTCTGTCACGTCTAGAGAGTAGCTAGATCAACACGATGTGTCAGTTAAGCAAGAAAGCATACAATTCAGATAAATAATGAGCAAGTAACTGAATAAATATTTCTAAGGAAAGACAAAGAAATGATCAACTGGCCTATGGAAAGGCGTTTGGCATTAATAACCACTGGCAAATTCAGGTTTTCAGTTAGAAGGACTGAGATCAGGAACTCTATGACATAAAATGCAACAATAGTTTGTGTGTATGTTTGAAGGTCACTACGAGAATGGATTTTAAATATTCTAGTCTGGCAGGATGTGCGAGGGAGGGATGGTGAGGATGGAGACGGTGAGATGATGGTGGTGAGAAGTGTGTGTGACACTGTCCTTCCATGCTGTAAGTGTGTAGCAAAGCATCAAGCTGTACAACACAGACACACAGGCTTATATTAAAACGAACGTGAATGTGGCAGGCTGGACGGTGACTCAGCAGATACAAGGTGCGGCTGCCAAGCCAGACAACATGAATTTATTCTCTAGGATCCACACGGTAGATGGAGAGAACTGACTGCCACATGTTGTGCCCTGACTATCACACAGGAATGTATGCACATGTGCGTGTTTGTGCACACGTGCGTGTTTGTCCACACACACACACACACACACACACACACACACACACATACACACACATACACCATGGTACATATGTACCTATATGCACCTACACACTCGTATAATAAATGTAGTAAAAATTATTGTAAAATTTGCTGAAATATATATCTGTTTAGACTTGTCTACAACTTTTTGCCTTTTCTCTTGAAAATAAAAGTAAAATTATGCACAGGATAAAATAAAAATGTGTAACCTTGGAAAATTGGTTCTGCCATTTCTTCATTCTCTTTCTTTCTTGTTCTGCATCCTCAGAAGGACTACAGCAGTCGTTTCTAACCTTCCTAACACTGTGACCCTTTAATACAGTTCCTCGTGTTGTGGTGACTCCTGAACAGAAAATCATTTTGTTGCTACCTCATAACTGTAATTTTGCTACTGTTATGAATCATAATGCGAATATCTGATACGCAAGCTATCTGATAAGTGATCTCCAAAGGAGTCATGACCCAAATATCAAGAATCATTGGATTAGAGGCTCTGTTAGTGGGTCTTGATGGCCAAATGCAGGGGCAATAGAAAAAGTCCCATATATTTCTTTTATGCACAAACTGGAGTCATGAAGATGACTTCAACTTTAAACCTTGGAAATGCACTTGGAGTTTGTTAATTGGCAACAGAAATTGTCAATAACTTGATGCTCCCTGACCTACACAAGCTTGAAAAGCAAGATTTTGGGAACTGCCTGATTTTTTTAAATTCAAGAATAGGAGGGAAGTTAGTCTACAAAATAAACATTCAATGATTATTTCCAAAGAAACAGAGCAGCCTCCTGACCATATAACTCACTTCTATTGTTTGGACTACATGTTATATGCTTTCCAAGTGCACATTTGGGCTTTGTATTTCTAGTCCTTAGGAAGTAAATGTTCTTGTCTTCACCTTAGCTAGAGGTGTCAGAGTGTCACAGTGATCAATGTCCCTGCCACCTGTGGGGCATGACTCTGAATATTTCTGCCACAGACGTCAATGTTTATGCAAGAGATTACTCCACATTGTAGAGAATTCCAGAGTCAAGAGAAAGACTCTCCTGTTGACATTCCCTTTCTAACCAGTCCTCACTCAGAGACTTGATTCAGAAACCTGGGCTGCTCAACCAAATTGTCAAGATGTGTTTGAACCAAATCCTGTTCCTTTATTATCAAACCAAGGCTCTGGGTGGGCTCAAACCCCAGTAAGACACACACACACACACACACACACACACACACACACACACACACACA